TATATATATATATATATATATATATATATATATATATATATATATATATATATATATATATGGTATGAATGGTATATAGCACACTTACTCATTACAAATATTAACATTTTATATTTTCATATACAAATTTAATGTATATGTTGCTTAACAGAGCACGTACTAAAATATACCTTCCGTAGTAGTATGTTTTGATAAAAGAATATCTGTGTATTTAAATATTTGGGTGTATGTATGCTCATGGGCATATATATACAGTACATGCATAGTGCTATTGCACCATAGTACAGAACTGTGTAGACTGTTGTCGGAGTGGTGTTATAAAAGAGAGAAGTAGCACAAATAATCCTGTTGAATACTAAACACAGCGTATAACTTTCTTGATTGATTTTTACACACGAAATCCGTGTCGTGTCAAACTTGGGCACTTTTCGTAGTATTGGACCATGAAGATTTTCGAACCGATTTCGTTACAGTTTTTCGCTAGAACTCTTCAACAATGCGAGTCTTCACCTTATTTTAATAGCATATCACTGACTACTCTTTCGTATCTGTACCCAATACTAAAATTAAGAGAGGATTGGTGGTGTTTGCACAAACAACGTACATAAATAGACAGCTGTAGCCTATGCGAATGACCAAACAGTGCATGGTTGTCTTCCATCTTAGAGTACGAACAATTTAATAATATACGCGAGGAAAGGTTGCACTGTCCCAAAAATCAACAAATAATATGAAAACCCTAAAAATCAACAAATAATATGATGTTCTCCTTTTTGACTATCTATCGTGGCTCTTGGATCCGAAGTGATTTATCGCAAGAAACCGCTGACATTGTTGATAGATCAAGCGTAGGTTTACCACGATATTGCTAATTTTCCTTTCGCTCTATGAGACATCAGAAGTTTGAAAGCGTCCTTAGTATCCTCGTATTTATATGGGCTAGTAGGATCCATGATAACCCTCAGCTGAGTAATAGTAAAGGTAGCACGAAGTGTTAGTCAGTCGCAATAGAAAAATACAAGAGAATTCATAGACCGATCTGAACGCACACACACAGATCAAAAGTACGACTGAGTACAGATTTCCTGCCAATTTGAGAAGACACAGCTGGAAATCATACCTTTCTAGCTTCAATCCACTCACTAATCTCGGTCATATCTTTTGGGGCACCGGCGTTTGTTAAGAAGAATTCGTAATTAGGCCCCATACCTATAGCAGCCATTGCTTTCCTACCGATAGTGTTGCCCACCATCGAAAATACCCTGCCGATCGAAAGAACATCCGGTCCATTCTCTTCTTCAGAAGAAATGGTAACAAACACTCCGCCTTTCTTCAGAACCTGCGTAAATTTGTGTGTTTGGATGGTCAAGGCAACCGCATGGTTGATAGGTTCAAAGCTGCTTCAATCGAGTACGTCTAGTCGTCAGTTGCCGTAGTCCACCTATATGGCCAATATATCTATCATAATCTTATATTTCGTCGCATGCGATGGATACAACATGTCTAAAACAGTCCCAAACCCGATAGGAACACCTAGTATAAACAACGGTGAATTCTACGAAAAGTAATCGAATATCTTTGTTAGCCACAGCAAGCTAAATGTAGTATATATTATTACTCACCTGATGCGATCGCTCCCAGCCACCACCAACGCAATCGAAGACAATATCATACTCAGCGCCATTGAGAATGACTTCCCATTTTCCTTCCTGCATACATGACGAAAAGTGTTATTTTGCGTATACGTCATTGGACGCTCAAAAGTTCTGGTGCATGCTTCAAGATGCCAAAACCCCCCCTCCGTGTGTACATGAGAGACATTCTATTCGTTTCTAAGAATAATATAAAACGCAAAGTCGATACACATATCGTCCCTTTTGACTCGCCCAAATACATACTTTATAATTGATGACCTGATCTGCTCCAAGACTGTCCACCAATTCAACATTAGAAGACGTCGTGGTCACGTGCTTGGCCCCCATAATCTTGGCCATTTGGATCGCCATGGAGCCCACACCGCCGCTTCCACCAAGAACCAATACTTTATCACCCTTCTTGATGTTACCTTTAAACTTTAACCCTTGATAAGCAGTTAGACCTACCAACGGTACGGACGCAGCCTCTTCAGCAGATATGTTCTGTGGTTTCTTAACCACAAAATCAGATGGGCACACCATATACTCCGCACAGCTACCTCTATGCATATACAAAATTTGTATGTACAAGATTCAATTCAATACACATATTTTCATATCTCAAGGTACGTAAGAGTATGGACAATAGCTTGAGGGTGCTTCTGCATGTCTCCTATGTCAATATGCGTCCAACCATTCACAAATATACTATCACTGTAAACGCCCATGTACACAAAAACTATGAGAAGAACAAGTATGAACAAACAAAACCTAAAACCTGCAAACGTATACATGTATATACACGAATACACATAAATACATACGAACACACACACCCGTATATATATATATATATGTATATATAAATATTTATACATATACATACACTCACAAATATAAACATACACTTTGAAATTAAAAAAAATTAAAACAAAGATTTATATATGTACATCAATACAATATGCATATATACATGTATAGTACATGTCTATGTTAGAAACCACAATTTGTGATATATATTGATATAAATATATACTTATACGCGTATATAAATGTTTAGAATACATGCAAATAAAAAAACATACAACTCCCCCTCCTCCCCACTACACACACATACACTCATATATATGTTATGAAATAGATGTATATTTATGCAAATATATGTGAACACGAATAGAAATAGCACACACACACACACACACACACACATATATATATATATACTCGGAACACACACACACACACACACACATATATATATACTCGGAACACACACACACACACACACATATAATCAGACACACGTACATACATACATACATACATACATACATATATATATATTATTATACACATATTATAACTCATATTTTATACATGTATAACATTATGTACATATTGTAACTTATTACATACATATATAACTTATTATATACATATTGTAACTTATTACATACATATATAACTTATTATATACATATTTACAAACAAAGATATACATTAACGGACCTGTCCCCGGTATCGCCGTAAACAACATCTCCAACTTTGAAATCTCCTTTACTCGCTTTGCTTTTCGCCACAATGATGCCACAAACATCGAAACCGACAACGTGCGGGAACGACCGCTTCATGAACAGCGACATGTTGCCCTTCATTAATTTATAGTCAACGGGGTTGATTGAAGATGCTTGCACCTTGATAAGAACTTGATCTTGGCTATCATCAATTGTAGGCACTGGGTGAGCCGTTTCCAGCTATATTGAATAGAAGTGAATCAAGCGAGTCGAGATAAATTAAATTGAACTGAATTGAATTATTAAAAAGGGAGGGATGGATATATATAGTGGGATGAACATGAATAGAATAAGAAATGATTAAAATAAAACTGAAATGAATTGAATAGTTTCAGATAATTACGAAGGACCCACTAGGCCTTCTCCGTGTTCACAATGGCAAGCGGCTCATATTCCAGAAAACGAAACGCGTTTTGCAGATAGTACTGACGCTGGTCGACATCTACCACAAGCGATATTGGCTAGTACTGAGTACCAACGCAACATTATAATCATAAAACGCTCTTGGGAAAGATGGATACTCTAACCCAGTCAATGACAAAGAATTCATATGATAATAATGCTGCCATAGAGGGCTGACAAAAGCACGAGCTAGCGCAATTTGTAGTTGTAAACTGTAAAAGGGGTGATTACCTTGAGATTCTCCAAACCATAATCATCGGTTTGCACCCAAGCTTTCATCGTTTGTGGCGTCCCTTTCGTCATGTTCGAGAGCTAGTTTAATCTATGGCTTTGTTGAAATGATGTATTATTGTTAAACTTATGGGTTTTAAAGTGCTATTTATATAAGACCGAAATTTATGCGAGGTCACCTGTTGTACAGTACTACAGTGCAGTATGCGGATTGCGCATTCCAAAAGTCTTACACATCGGATTTTTTTTCATAGCCTTCTGAAAATTAGAGCTATGTTTTATTACTCTGAAAACAGATGGATATCATATTTTTACACGATCTATTTTAATAAATAAATAAATAAATAAATAAATAAATAAAATACAAACAACTGTCACAGTGACACAAGTGTCAAAAGAAGACTCTTTTCTTTAAAACCATTTATAAAAAAGAAGAAGTTACTTCACATATGATTGGATGCGAGCAAAACTGATTACAGTTGAATGGTTGCGGTGTGCATATGGTATATTGATCAGTCTCACTGTCTCACAGCTCTCATTGCTCACAGTTCGAGTCTGAAGAGTGAAGTCTCACTAAATATGTAGTATGGAGCACAGCAGTAAGAACCGGGAAACTCAGGCCGATTTTGTAAATTGAAAAACCTTTTTTGGCTTGAGCGATTTTCATTTTTTTTTTGCACTAAAGCATTTGGTAGATCGAGGGCTGTCCAAAACAGCATTTTGTTTTTGGGCGAATTTTGAAAATGGGTGCCTATGTCACATATGTGGGTCATACGCTTGTGATTTTGGAAAAAATATATTTTCATAATCAAGTAAAATACACCTTCATATACAATTTTTCATTGCACAAAGAAACCAGTTCACGCTTTCTAAAAATACAGTGGGGTAAACAGAGCAGCAGGATGACAGAGATCAGCTCAAGCTAATCGCTGATGGAAATTACCTTACTGATCTCTATATTCCCACTCGGCTCAACTTCACTATCGCTGGATTCACTAACTTCATCACTAATTACGTACTCTTCAGCACCCTCAGGTTCCGAACGATTACTTACAAATCTACCGCGCACACCACGAGCTGACTGTACACAGCCCAACCTTAAAGTACTTTTGTTCGTCCTACGCTTATCGCATATACCTTATCCATGAGGTCTGACTGCATATAAATGAGACTACTATTACGAATAAATAATGTTTTCGGCGTGTATTTTGATATTTAGACGTTTGGTTGTGACCCGAAACACACATATATATATACATACATATATATTTTCATATATAACATACATACATACACACATACATACACACACACACACACACACACACACACACACATATATATATTAC